TTTTTTTTTTTTTGTGGGATGGCGGTATCCTATGTTATTAATAGAGACCTAATTGGTTATCCATTTTTCCTCGTTATTCAGTCTCAAGATTGAGGATCATAAAAAAGAAGTAATGTCGTGGAACTATCTTTGTCCCAAATGGTGGGGCTTAAAATTGATCAGGCAGCTGATCAGATTATATGATGAGCCAAGCTTGATCAAAACTATATTCTCGTTTGAAATCCTAACCAAGTGTGAGCAATGTGTTACTCGTCTCGCTAGGTTCGTGAGCCTTAGCCTTAGATGGCATTAACTTAGCTATGACTTTTTAAGTTGAGAACTTTCTAAAAGGACGTGAATGAAAAGGTTAGGGTTGCACAGATTGAGGGGAGTGACATTCCCGGTCAATACTTCAATCTGTAACATACAAAGAGAACAGATCAAAGCATCACTAGAATTGTTTTTTTAAATCCACGATACATTCTTTTTCAGCTTGTTATTGTATTTTTATAGTATCCGGGGTCTGGTATTGGTCAAATTTGTGTGACAAACGTTGTTTGGCTTTTGAGTTATAAAGCAAGCTCAGAGTAAAAGGAACAAATTTGAACCAGAGACAATGCTTGAGCCGAGTCTTAAACTTGGGTTTGAGCTCACAACTGAGATCGTACATTTGCCATGCTGAGATGAACTACTCCTGAGCATGAGATCTAGCAACCAAGCCGTATGGTAGCCAAGAGACCAACCAACCAAAGATTCCTGAATCCGAGGACAAGGGGATGAGGCAAGGTTGAGATGCCAAGATAATGTGCATAGTCTCATATTGGAATTAGCTATTTATGTGATAGCTTTGGTGACATGTTTTAAAGCCTTAAGAGGTGACCAAAAGCAGATAATATTTTGATGGTGGGGTCAGGGTGTTACAAGCCTGGCTTGAGCAGGAACTCCAAATGTACACTGTACACTAGTGCCCTAGCCTAGCTTGAACAGCATTTAGCCTAAGCCTAACCGAAGCAAGCTTGAGAAACTATCTATTCAGCTCAAGCCAACATTTTTAGCTTACAAACTAATTTTAAAAAAGCACACGTGACACATCCCCTATTGGTATAGTGAGCTCGTTATGATAAAAAATTATAATAACTTACATACGTAAAACCTAGGCATACCTTTGATAAAAACAAGCTTAACAGGTCCACGGGCACCTTGCTTTGCAAAGAAAGAGCAGTTTGAAAAGTTTTGGTTAGCAATTAGTTGGTCCACTGTTGGCATTTTGTCTCACTTTTGTTGTCTGAATATAGTTAGACGATAAGACACACATATTCTCACTTGTTGGGCTTGCTTTGAGAAACTTCGTAAAGAATTACATTGCCGTGCAGCAAGACCAATTTCAGCGCCTATTGCCAACCTTCATCCAAGTAATTGACTTGACAGAACAGGAGGAAACTGAATACTGGGATGTTATGTCTGCTGTTTTTGAGGGCAAACAGATTGCTTCAGTTACGTCTGACACAAGCTGCTTTGAGAGGCCTAGCTTGGACTCAGTTACTTCAACTTCTGTGGATACAGGCATCAATAACAAGGTTTGTTTACAGTTATCCATCCTAGATTGTACATTCATCTAATTACTTGTTGGAAACTTGTTTAAACCAGCCTAATGTACAGGAGATATGCTTCAGGCTTGCATTACAAACACCCCGCGCTAGCCATTATCACATGACGTTAATTGGTTGCAACTGAAGCATGTTAAAAACTCAGCAAACCATGTGAAAGATATGTCATTATGCAGCTTGGTTTTAATAATGTCTTGTCCGAATTACAATTCTATCATGGCATGATAAATTGGACTGAGTAACCAACTTTCCTCCAGAACAAGATTATAAAAAGTAAGATGGTTAGCTTAATTTTGGATAACATAAATGCATGTGTTTATTGCACTATTAGAACAATTTTGTTTCTTTTTCTCTTAAAGTAATGTTATTATCATATCTGGGACAAGAAAAAAGTATTTCGGATGGAGGACAGAGAATGTGGACAGGGTAAGTAGTTTAGATTAGATTGCTGGAATAAAGATAACACCCAGTTCAATCCCATTAATGGGGTCTGGGAGGGGGTAGGTTGGGAACAGAACCTATCATTTGGCATTGAGTATTGTTGGTATCCCTTCTTCTCCATGTGTACTTAGATATCAAGAAATAATTTAGTGAAATAACCCAAAAGACCCCCATGGTAGATTTTTAATAAGCTGTTCACCTTATATTGTTTCCTGCACTAAAATTACCTGTAAACTCTAGGTGCATCTTCTGAGAACTATGCTTCAGTGGGAGGAGCAGCTGCGGTCTGAAACAGGTCTTCGGCAACCAAATCATAATGTGAAACGTTTTAGGAACCTCAACTCTCTTTCTCTTGGGGAAGTGGTAATTGTATGTTGGCCCCATGGCGAAATAATGAGGTTGAGAACTGGCAGCACTGCTGCAGATGCAGCTAGAAGAGTTGGACTTGAGGGAAAGCTGGTCTCAATAAATGGTCAACTTGTATTGCCTAACACGGAGCTCAAAGATGGCGATGTAGTTGAAGTTAGGGTGTAAACATAAAAATACACTGTACACTTGGTTAGAGTAGGTAGGAACTTGTACAATATACGGATGAACGGGAAAGAAAAAAAAAAATCATTGTCATCTCAGTATGGAAATACACTAGATATTATCCAGTCTATCTCCGGCACCCCTGCATAAGTGGGGCTGCACCAGGTAATAGCCTTTGGTTCGATCAAATGATGCAAGGCCAGCATTCATTTATTTATTCCTAGATGGCATTTGTATTGCTACTTCTGTGTAAATATTGTCAGTTTTACAATGGAATGAAAGCAAGTTATTGCTCAAAAACAAGTGTTTCAGTTCTGCCTAACATTTTCTTCTCCCGTATCCTTTTTTATACGCGGGGTCATGTGCATTGTGTATGATTTTTTCTCATTGCCGACTTCAATATATACAAGTATGGAAATGAAGTTTGACCTGTGTTTTGTAATTAGTATTAATAAGAGTACATCTTTTAATGTTAGAGACCGTTCAGAATTGATGAATGACCTCTGATGGGGCTTGATTAACAGTATCATCCAAGTTGAAGATTATGATTGTGTGCATGTATCTCCATTGAATGATTCTTTTTGTGGGTCTTAAAGGTGTTGATCCTTGCATGATAAATAGCCAATCACTGCTTGCGGCATCAATGATCAAACTCTCGGGGAGCGGCGAATGAATTGCATTAGTGTAATTTGGCTTTTATGAATTGTTCATCAGACAAATCACCTCTTTGTTTATTTTTTTAAAAAAAGTTTACCCGCGCTAATCATATCTATCTGATTCTCTTTCCGTCGATAAAATCATATAAACACTTCATCAGAAGTGATGGCTTGAAGGAATTTTAGTGCTCGTATGGCAGCCTCCTCCAAAACATTTTCTGTAAGGAAGAAGACAGAAAATCACACACACCTATTAGCTTGCGACGTGTTTGTGGATTTGGGTTGTTGTAATACTTTTTTTCCAACAATAGATCACTCGTCATCCAATGAATCTACTTTAATACACCGTGTCCCACTCATACTTAAGAAAAATATTTAGTTGGGAATTAAAAAGGAGGTAATAATATATCACTCGTCAATTACACGAGTTAGTTTAGTAGTCGAATAAGAAATGAGACGTAAATTTATTCATCATGAATTCGAATCAATTGGTTGTATAAAATTTAAATTTAACAAATGTATAAAATTGAACGAGTGATTGTAAAAATTTGAGAATTATATTGTAAATTTTGTGAATGTTAGACCATTGTGTTTTGTGACAATGTATAGTTACAATAATGGTTTTTAAATAACGAAATAGAAATTTTGAAAAGTCTTTGCTTCAATTTTTTTTTAATATTAGAAACATAATTTATTTAATTAAAAAGTATAAATTTTCCTAATAAAAATTGTATAATTTTTTCAAATCAAATTCTTTCGGGCTTCACCGATCCGGTTAAGATCCCCTACTACTAATTTAATACGACCTAAGAGCATCTTCAGCTCGACTTGAATTTAGACTTAAATTTACATTTGAATCTAAATGGTTTAATAATTTTCTCCGACCTTTAACACAAATCTATAAAAAAAAAAAACTTATTATGCACCAAAATTGAATGAGACTTAAATTCTACACCAAATCATCTCCGGTCCTTATCATTTTTTAAATCCAAATTTAAATTTGGGTAAAAAAAAACTCATAAACACTTTCTCTAATGTTAGACTCATACCCACATTAAATCAAATGAGACTCATTTTTTATTCAACTAGAGCGAGACTCAAATTCATATCAAATATTTAATAGTGAGATTTTACCATCTTTTAAATATCTAATTGTCATATTTTATATACTTTTAAATTTGAGATTATTCTTATTTAAATTTAGATTTATTTTTCTTAAATTTGAGTTTCTTTATTAAAGAGGCATATGTCAAAATAAAATTTTATTTATTATTTTTACTCAAATTTGATTAAAGGTTGATTTCTATTAAGAATAATGTTATGCAACTCAATCTTGGGATCCTAAATGACATTATAAATCAATAAGAACCATAAAATCAGGAGGTCCTAATGATACAAAACTTCAATAAAATCTAAAAATTAAAACCAAATGCATATTATCTATTAGATGAGTACGAGTCTTGTTGAAAAAATTGATAGAATTCACTCATTTAATGGATAATATACATTTGGATTGCAAGTTTTTATATTTTATTTGATTTTTGTTAGATTGCTTTTTAAAAAAGCAAATGAAATTCATTCATCCAATAATTCGGATTCATTTGGGATCCAAATTTGAGTTTGCATAGTATTTTCCTTTCATTAAAGATTATCTAAGTCATGATAAAAAAAAATTAGTAATACTATTTAGACTTAAATTTACTGACCTAATTTATTATGACATTTATATTGAATGTGGATTTCATTAAACATTAGAATTTGTTATTGTTGTACTGATTTTTTTTGAAATTACGTGGTTACGTTAGATCAAAAATATTATTTAAAAAAAAAAACTCTCATGAAAAGTGGTGGGCGGGAAGAGTTGCAAGGGCCACGTTTGAAACACTTCATTTGAATACTGTCTCTCTCTCCCTTCTTCTCAACTGGCTTATCATTCAACTAGCTTGCCATCCACTAGCAACTGATTGACGGAGGACCTCTCTCTGGCTCTCTAATATGGTGATTGACCTTCGTATCTTCAATTCTTCCCTTATGGTTTGATTTTCATCCAGAAGCTTGCGTCCTAATATAGATCGATTCCAATTTCCATCTACCTGTAGTCTGTTGTACGAATTCATCCCAATTGGGTGCTTCGAACGAAGCTTCACTTTCGGCAAAATTAATTGCAGTGGTAAGTGCATTGGGCTTGGGTGGGTGAAAACTTATCGTTGGCATTTTGGTATAGAATTTGAGGATCCCTCAATTTTGGGTTAAGAATGAGTTTTTCCTTGATTTGGTATACGTTTGATTTAAGGGTTCGAGAAGATTGTTGGAGTTTTTTAACTCAAATTTAAAATTGAGTCCAGGTTACAGTTAGGGTTGGAGATGCTTTGCTTAAGTTTTAGATTTGTACTTACCCGGGACTTGATAGTTTAATTTGTTTTCTTATACGTTTTATTGTGTGTATGTTTCATATACAGGCAAAGCCTCCGAAACTTGTGTAGATCAACTGTAGAGTGTCTTTTGGGGGCAGTGTAACAGGTAACGGTAGAAATAAGTAATCTCAATTCACGGAATGGTCTGCTTCAGAAATTAGTNGTGTTTGTGGATTTGGGTTGTTGTAATACTTTTTTTCCAACAATAGATCACTCGTCATCCAATGAATCTACTTTAATACACCGAGTCCCACACATACTTAAGAAAAATATTTAGTTGGGAATTAAAAAGGAGGTAATAATATATCACTCGTCAATTACACGAGTTAGTTTAGTAGTCGAATAAGAAATGAGACGTAAATTTACTCATCATGAATTCGAATCAATTGGTTGTATAAAATTTAAATTTAACAAATGTATAAAATTGAACGAGTGATTGTAAAAATTTGAGCATTATATTGTAAATTTTGTGAATGTTAGACCATTGTGTTTCGTGACAATGTATAGTTACAATAATGGTTTTTAAATAACGAAATAGAAATTTTGAAAAGTCTTTGCTTCAATTTTTTTTTAAATATTAGAAACATAATTTATTTAATTAAAAAGTATAAATTTTCCTAATAAAAATTGTATAATTTTTTCAAATCAAATTCTTTCGGGCTTCACCGATCCGGTTAAGATCCCCTACTACNGCTCATTAACAAGTTGGTAAATTTAGTATTTAATAAGTGATTGCTAGGAGCAAAAATAAATAAATTAAATACTGAATAATTTATTGTTGGTATCCCTTCTTCTCCATGTGTACTTAGATATCAAGAAATAATTTAGTGAAATAACCCAAAAGACCCCCATGGTAGATTTTTAATAAGCTGTTCACCTTATATTGTTTCCTGCACTAAAATTTACCTGTAAACTCTAGGTGCATCTTCTGAGAACTATGCTTCAGTGGGAGGAGCAGCTGCGGTCTGAAACAGGTCTTCGGCAACCAAATCATAATGTGAAACGTTTTAGGAACCTCAACTCTCTTTCTCTTGGGGAAGTGGTAATTGTATGTTGGCCCCATGGCGAAATAATGAGGTTGAGAACTGGCAGCACTGCTGCAGATGCAGCTAGAAGAGTTGGACTTGAGGGAAAGCTGGTCTCAATAAATGGTCAACTTGTATTGCCTAACACGGAGCTCAAAGATGGCGATGTAGTTGAAGTTAGGGTGTAAACATAAAAATACACTGTACACTTGGTTAGAGTAGGTAGGAACTTGTACAATATACGGATGAACGGGAAAGAAAAAAAAAAATCATTGTCATCTCAGTATGGAAATACACTAGATATTATCCAGTCTATCTCCGGCACCCCTGCATAAGTGGGGCTGCACCAGGTAATAGCCTTTGGTTCGATCAAATGATGCAAGGCCAGCATTCATTTATTTATTCCTAGATGGCATTTGTATTGCTACTTCTGTGTAAATATTGTCAGTTTTACAATGGAATGAAAGCAAGTTATTGCTCAAAAACAAGTGTTTCAGTTCTGCCTAACATTTTCTTCTCCCGTATCCTTTTTTATACGCGGGGTCATGTGCATTGTGTATGATTTTTTCTCATTGCCGACTTCAATATATACAAGTATGGAAATGAAGTTTGACCTGTGTTTTGTAATTAGTATTAATAAGAGTACATCTTTTAATGTTAGAGACCGTTCAGAATTGATGAATGACCTCTGATGGGGCTTGATTAACAGTATCATCCAAGTTGAAGATTATGATTGTGTGCATGTATCTCCATTGAATGATTCTTTTTGTGGGTCTTAAAGGTGTTGATCCTTGCATGATAAATAGCCAATCACTGCTTGTGGCATCAATGATCAAACTCTCGGGGAGCGGCGAATGAATTGCATTAGTGTAATTTGGCTTATATGAATTGTTCATCAGACAAATCACCTCTTTGTTTATTTTAAAAAAAAAAAGTATACCCGCGCTAATCATATCTATCTGATTCTCTTTCCGTCGATAAAATCATATAAACACTTCATCAGAAGTGATGGCTTGAAGGAATTTTAGTGCTCGTGTGGCAGCCTCTCCATAACATTTTCTGTAAGGAAGAAGACAGAAAATCACACACACCTATTAGCTTGCGACGTGTTTGTGGATTTGGGTTGTTGTAATACTTTTTTTCCAACAATAGATCACTCGTCATCCAATGAATCTACTTTAATACACCGAGTCCCACACATACTTAAGAAAAATATTTAGTTGGGAATTAAAAAGGAGGTAATAATATATCACTCGTCAATTACACGAGTTAGTTTAGTAGTCGAATAAGAAATGAGACGTAAATTTACTCATCATGAATTCGAATCAATTGGTTGTATAAAATTTAAATTTAACAAATGTATAAAATTGAACGAGTGATTGTAAAAATTTGAGCATTATATTGTAAATTTTGTGAATGTTAGACCATTGTGTTTCGTGACAATGTATAGTTACAATAATGGTTTTTAAATAACGAAATAGAAATTTTGAAAAGTCTTTGCTTCAATTTTTTTTTAAATATTAGAAACATAATTTATTTAATTAAAAAGTATAAATTTTCCTAATAAAAATTGTATAATTTTTTCAAATCAAATTCTTTCGGGCTTCACCAATCCGGTTAAGATCCCCTACTACTAATTTAATACGACCTAAGAGCATCTTCAGCTCGACTTGAATTTAGACTTAAATTTACATTTGAATCTAAATGGTTTAATAATTTTCTCCGACCTTTAACACAAATCTATAAAAAAAAAAAACTTATTATGCACCAAAATNTGAAATAACCCAAAAGACCCCCATGGTAGATTTTTAATAAGCTGTTCACCTTATATTGTTTCCTGAACTAAAATTTACCTGTAAACTCTAGGTGCATCTTCTGAGAACTATGCTTCAGTGGGAGGAGCAGCTGCGGTCTGAAACAGGTCTTCGGCAACCAAATCATAATGTGAAACGTTTTAGGAACCTCAACTCTCTTTCTCTTGGGGAAGTGGTAATTGTATGTTGGCCCCATGGCGAAATAATGAGGTTGAGAACTGGCAGCACTGCTGCAGATGCAGCTAGAAGAGTAGGACTTGAGGGAAAGCTGGTCTCAATAAATGGTCAACTTGTATTGCCTAACACGGAGCTCAAAGATGGCGATGTAGTTGAAGTTAGGGTGTAAACATAAAAATACACTGTACACTTGGTTAGAGTAGGTAGGAACTTGTACAATATACGGATGAACGGGAAAGAAAAAAAAAAATCATTGTCATCTCAGTATGGAAATACACTAGATATTATCCAGTCTATCTCCGGCACCCCTGCATAAGTGGGGCTGCACCAGGTAATAGCCTTTGGTTCGATCAAATGATGCAAGGCCAGCATTCATTTATTTATTCCTAGATGGCATTTGTATTGCTACTTCTGTGTAAATATTGTCAGTTTTACAATGGAATGAAAGCAAGTTATTGCTCAAAAACAAGTGTTTCAGTTCTGCCTAACATTTTCTTCTCCCGTATCCTTTTTTATACGCGGGGTCATGTGCATTGTGTATGATTTTTTCTCATTGCCGACTTCAATATATACAAGTATGGAAATGAAGTTTGACCTGTGTTTTGTAATTAGTATTAATAAGAGTACATCTTTTAATGTTAGAGACCGTTCAGAATTGATGAATGACCTCTGATGGGGCTTGATTAACAGTATCATCCAAGTTGAAGATTATGATTGTGTGCATGTATCTCCATTGAATGATTCTTTTTGTGGGTCTTAAAGGTGTTGATCCTTGCATGATAAATAGCCAATCACTGCTTGTGGCATCAATGATCAAACTCTCGGGGAGCGGCGAATGAATTGCATTAGTGTAATTTGGCTTATATGAATTGTTCATCAGACAAATCACCTCTTTGTTTATTTTAAAAAAAAAAAGTATACCCGCGCTAATCATATCTATCTGATTCTCTTTCCGTCGATAAAATCATATAAACACTTCATCAGAAGTGATGGCTTGAAGGAATTTTAGTGCTCGTATGGCAGCCTCTCCATAACATTTTCTGTAAGGAAGAAGACAGAAAATCACACACACCTATTAGCTTGCGACGTGTTTGTGGATTTGGGTTGTTGTAATACTTTTTTTCCAACAATAGATCACTCGTCATCCAATGAATCTACTTTAATACACCGAGTCCCACACATACTTAAGAAAAATATTTAGTTGGGAATTAAAAAGGAGGTAATAATATATCACTCGTCAATTACACGAGTTAGTTTAGTAGTCGAATAAGAAATGAGACGTAAATTTACTCATCATGAATTCGAATCAATTGGTTGTATAAAATTTAAATTTAACAAATGTATAAAATTGAACGAGTGATTGTAAAAATTTGAGAATTATATTGTAAATTTTGTGAATGTTAGACCATTGTGTTTCGTGACAATGTATAGTTACAATAATGGTTTTTAAATAACGAAATAGAAATTTTGAAAAGTCTTTGCTTCAATTTTTTTTTAAATATTAGAAACATAATTTATTTAATTAAAAAGTATAAATTTTCCTAATAAAAATTGTATAATTTTTTCAAATCAAATTCTTTCGGGCTTCACCAATCCGGTTAAGATCCCCTACTACTAATTTAATACGACCTAAGAGCATCTTCAGCTCGACTTTAATTTAGACTTAAATTTACATTTGAATCTAAATGGTTTAATAATTTTCTCCAACCTTTAACACAAATCTATAAAAAAAAAAAAAACTTATTATGCACCAAAATTGAATGAGACTTAAATTCTACACCAAATCATCTCCGGTCCTTATCATTTTTTAAATCCAAATTTAAATTTGGGTAAAAAAAAACTCATAAACACTTTCTCTAATGTTAGACTCATACCCACATTAAATCAAATGAGACTCATTTTTTATTCAACTAGAGCGAGACTCAAATTCATATCAAATATTTAATAGTGAGATTTTACCATCTTTTAAATATCTAATTGTCATATTTTATATACTTTTAAATTTGAGATTATTCTTATTTAAATTTAGATTTATTTTTCTTAAATTTGAGTTTCTTTATTAAAGAGGCATATGTCAAAATAAAATTTTATTTATTATTTTTACTCAAATTTGATTAAAGGTTGATTTCTATTAAGAATAATGTTATGCAACTCAATCTTGGGATCGTAAATGACATTATAAATCAATAAGAACCATTAAATCAGGAGGTCCTAATGATAAAAAACTTCAATAAAATCTAAAAATTAAAACCAAATGCATATTATCTATTAGATGAGTACGAGTCTTGTTGAAAAAATTGATAGAATTCACTCATTTAATGGATAATATACATTTGGATTGCAAGTTTTTATATTTTATTTGATTTTTGTTAGATTGCTTTTTAAAAAAGCAAATGAAATTCATTCATCCAATAATTCCGATTCATTTGGGATCCAAATTTGAGTTTGCATAGTATTTTCCTTTCATTAAAGATTATCTAAGTCATGATAAAAAAAAATTAGTAATACTATTTAGACTTAAATTTACTGACCTAATTTATTATGACATTTATATTGAATGTGGATTTCATTAAACATTAGAATTTGTTATTGTTGTACTGATTTTTTTTGAAATTACGTGGTTACGTTAGATCAAAAATATTATTTAAAAAAAAAAACTCTCATGAANAATTGATGAATGACCTCTGATGGGGCTTGATTAACAGTATCATCCAAGTTGAAGATTATGATTGTGTGCATGTATCTCCATTGAATGATTCTTTTTGTGGGTCTTAAAGGTGTTGATCCTTGCATGATAAATANGATTGATGAATGACCTCTGATGGGGCTTGATTAACAGTATCATCCAAGTTGAAGATTATGATATTGTGTGCATGTATCTCCATTGAATGATTCTTTTTGTGGGTCTTAAAGGTGTTGATCCTTGCATGATAAATAGCCAATCACTGCTTGCGGCATCAATGATCAAACTCTCGGGGAGCGGCGAATGAATTGCATTAGTGTAATTTGGCTTATATGAATTGTTCATCAGACAAATCACCTCTTTGTTTATTTTAAAAAAAAAAAGTATACCCGCGCTAATCATATCTATCTGATTCTCTTTCCGTCGATAAAATCATATAAACACTTCATCAGAAGTGATGGCTTGAAGGAATTTTAGTGCTCGTATGGCAGCCTCCTCCAAAACATTTTCTGTAAGGAAGAAGACAGAAAATCACACACACCTATTAGCTTGCGACGTGTTTGTGGATTTGGGTTGTTGTAATACTTTTTTTCCAACAATAGATCACTCGTCATCCAATGAATCTACTTTAATACACCGAGTCCCACACATACTTAAGAAAAATATTTAGTTGGGAATTAAAAAGGAGGTAATAATATATCACTCGTCAATTACACGAGTTAGTTTAGTAGTCGAATAAGAAATGAGACGTAAATTTACTCATCATGAATTCGAATCAATTGGTTGTATAAAATTTAAATTTAACAAATGTATAAAATTGAACGAGTGATTGTAAAAATTTGAGAATTATATTGTAAATTTTGTGAATGTTAGACCATTGTGTTTTGTGACAATGTATAGTTACAATAATGGTTTTTAAATAACGAAATAGAAATTTTGAAAAGTCTTTGCTTCAATTTTTTTTTAATATTAGAAACATAATTTATTTAATTAAAAAGTATAAATTTTCCTAATAAAAATTGTATAATTTTTTCAAATCAAATTCTTTCGGGCTTCACCGATCCGGTTAAGATCCCCTACTACTAATTTAATACGACCTAAGAGCATCTTCAGCTCGACTTTAATTTAGACTTAAATTTACATTTGAATCTAAATGGTTTAATAATTTTCTCCAACCTTTAACACAAATCTATAAAAAAAAAAAAAACTTATTATGCACCAAAATTGAATGAGACTTAAATTCTATACCAANTGGCATCAATGATCAAACTCTCGGGGAGCGGCGAATGAATTGCATTAGTGTAATTTGGCTTATATGAATTGTTCATCAGACAAATCACCTCTTTGTTTATTTTAAAAAAAAAAAGTATACCCGCGCTAATCATATCTATCTGATTCTCTTTCCGTCGATAAAATCATATAAACANCGGCATCAATGATCAAACTCTCGGGGAGCGGCGAATGAATTGCATTAGTGTAATTTGGCTTTTATGAATTGTTCATCAGACAAATCACCTCTTTGTTTATTTTTTTAAAAAAAGTTTACCCGCGCTAATCATATCTATCTGATTCTCTTTCCGTCGATAAAATCATATAAACACTTCATCAGAAGTGATGGCTTGAAGGAATTTTAGTGCTCGTATGGCAGCCTCCTCCAAAACATTTTCTGTAAGGAAGAAGACAGAAAATCACACACACCTATTAGCTTGCGACGTGTTTGTGGATTTGGGTTGTTGTAATACTTTTTTTCCAACAATAGATCACTCGTCATCCAATGAATCTACTTTAATACACCGTGTCCCACTCATACTTAAGAAAAATATTTAGTTGGGAATTAAAAAGGAGGTAATAATATATCACTCGTCAATTACACGAGTTAGTTTAGTAGTCGAATAAGAAATGAGACGTAAATTTATTCATCATGAATTCGAATCAATTGGTTGTATAAAATTTAAATTTAACAAATGTATAAAATTGAACGAGTGATTGTAAAAATTTGAGAATTATATTGTAAATTTTGTGAATGTTAGACCATTGTGTTTTGTGACAATGTATAGTTACAATAATGGTTTTTAAATAACGAAATAGAAATTTTGAAAAGTCTTTGCTTCAATTTTTTTTTAATATTAGAAACATAATTTATTTAATTAAAAAGTATAAATTTTCCTAATAAAAATTGTATAATTTTTTCAAATCAAATTCTTTCGGGCTTCACCGATCCGGTTAAGATCCCCTACTACTAATTTAATACGACCTAAGAGCATCTTCAGCTCGACTTGAATTTAGACTTAAATTTACATTTGAATCTAAATGGTTTAATAATTTTCTCCGACCTTTAACACAAATCTATAAAAAAAAAAAACTTATTATGCACCAAAATTGAATGAGACTTAAATTCTACACCAAATCATCTCCGGTCCTTATCATTTTTTAAATCCAAATTTAAATTTGGGTAAAAAAAAACTCATAAACACTTTCTCTAATATTAGACTCATGCCCACATCAAATCAAATGAGACTCATTTTTTATTCAACTAGAGCGAGACTCAAATTCATATCAAATATTTAATAGGGAGATTTTACCATCTTTTAAATATCTAATTGTCATATTTTATATACTTTAAAATTTGAGATTATTCTTATTTAAATTTAGATTTATTTTTCTTAAATTTGAGTTTCTTTATTAAAGAGGCATATGTCAAAATAAAATTTTATTTATTATTTTTACTCAAATTTGATTAAAGGTTGATTTCTATTAAGAATAATGTTATGCAACTCAATCTTGGGATCGTAAATGACATTATAAATCAATAAGAACCATTAAATCAGGAGGTCCTAATGATAAAAAACTTCAATAAAATCTAAAAATTAAAACCAAATGCATATTATCTATTAGATGAGTACGAGTCTTGTTGAAAAAATTGATAGAATTCACTCATTTAATGGATAATATACATTTGGATTGCAAGTTTTTATATTTTATTTGATTTTTGTTAGATTGCTTTTTAAAAAAGCAAATGAAATTCATTCATCCAATAATTCCGATTCATTTGGGATCCAAATTTGAGTTTGCATAGTATTTTCCTTTCATTAAAGATTATCTAAGTCATGATAAAAAAAAATGAGTAATACTATTTAGACTTAAATTTATTGACCTAATTTATTATGACATTTAGATTGAACGTGGATTCCATTAAACATTAGAATTTATTATTGTTTTACTGATTTTTTTTGAAGTTACGTGGTTACGTTAGATCAAAAATATTATTTAAAAAAAAAAAATTATCATGAAAAGTGGTGGGCGGGAAGAGTTGCCAGGGCCACGTTTGAAACACTTCATTTGAATACTGTCTCTCTCTCCCTTCTTCTCAACTGGCTTATCATTCAACTAGCTTGCCATCCACTAGCAACTGATTGACGGAGGACCTCTCTCTGGCTCTCTAATATGGTGATTGACCTTCGTATCTTCAATTCTTCCCTTATGGTTTGATTTTCATCCAGAAGCTTGCGTCCTAATATAGATCGATTCCAATTTCCATCTACCTGTAGTCTGTTGTACGAATTCATCCCAATTGGGTGCTTCGAACGAAGCTTCACTTTCGGCAAAATTAATTGTAGTGGTAAGTGCATTGGGCTTGGGTGGGTGAAAACTTATCGTTGGCATTTTGGTATAGAATTTGAGGATCCCTCAATTTTGGGTTAAGAATGAGTTTTTCCTTGATTTGGTATACGTTTGATTTAAGGGTTCGAGAANGGATTCATTTGGGATCCAAATTTGAGTTTGCATAGTATTTTCCTTTCATTAAAGATTATCTAAGTCATGATAAAAAAAAATTAGTAATACTATTTAGACTTAAATTTACTGACCTAATTTATTATGACATTTATATTGAATGTGGATTTCATTAAACATTAGAATTTGTTATTGTTGTACTGATTTTTTTTGAAATTACGTGGTTACGTTAGATCAAAAATATTATTTAAAAAAAAAAACTCTCATGAAAAGTGGTGGGCGGGAAGAGTTGCAAGGGCCACGTTTGAAACACTTCATTTGAATACTGTCTCTCTCTCCCTTCTTCTCAACNGTGGCAGCCTCTCCATAACATTTTCTGTAAGGAAGAAGACAGAAAATCACACACACCTATTAGCTTGCGACGTGTTTGTGGATTTGGGTTGTTGTAATACTTTTTTTCCAACAATAGATCACTCGTCATCCAATGAATCTACTTTAATACACCGAGTCCCACACATACTTAAGAAAAATATTTAGTTGGGAATTAAAAAGGAGGTAATAATATATCACTCGTCAATTACACGAGTTAGTTTAGTAGTCGAATAAGAAATGAGACGTAAATTTATTCATCATGAATTCGAATCAATTGGTTGTATAAAATTTAAATTTAACAAATGTATAAAATTGAACGAGTGATTGTAAAAATTTGAGAATTATATTGTAAATTTTGTGAATGTTAGACCATTGTGTTTCGTGACAATGTATAGTTACAATAATGGTTTTTAAATAACGAAATAGAAATTTTGAAAAGTCTTTGCTTCAATTTTTTTTTAAATATTAGAAACATAATTTATTTAATTAAAAAGTATAAATTTTCCTAATAAAAATTGTATAATTTTTTCAAATCAAATTCTTTCGGGCTTCACCGATCCGGTTAAGATCCCCTACTACTAATTTAATACGACCTAAGAGCATCTTCAGCTCGACTTGAATTTAGACTTAAATTTACATTTGAATCTAAATGGTTTAATAATTTTCTCCGACCTTTAACACAAATCTATAAAAAAAAAAAACTTATTATGCACCAAAATTGAATGAGACTTAAATTCTACACCAAATCATCTCCGGTCCTTATCATTTTTTAAATCCAAATTTAAATTTGGGTAAAAAAAAACTCATAAACACTTTCTCTAATGTTAGACTCATACCCACATTAAATCAAATGAGACTCATTTTTTATTCAACTAGAGCGAGACTCAAATTCATATCAAATATTTAATAGTGAGATTTTACCATCTTTTAAATATCTAATTGTCATATTTTATATACTTTAAAATTTGAGATTATTCTTATTTAAATTTAGATTTATTTTTCTTAAATTTGAGTTTCTTTATTAAAGAGGCATATGTCAAAATAAAATTTTATTTATTATTTTTACTCAAATTTGATTAAAGGTTGATTTCTATTAAGAATAATGTTATGCAACTCAATCTTGGGATCCTAAATGACATTATAAATCAATAAGAACCATAAAATCAGGAGGTCCTAATGATACAAAACTTCAATAAAATCTAAAAATTAAAACCAAATGCATATTATCTATTAGATGAGTACGAGTCTTGTTGAAAAAATTGATAGAATTCACTCATTTAATGGATAATATACATTTGGATTGCAAGTTTTTATATTTTATTTGATTTTTGTTAGATTGCTTTTTAAAAAAGCAAATGAAATTCATTCATCCAATAATTCCGATTCATTTGGGATCCAAATTTGAGTTTGCATAGTATTTTCCTTTCATTAAAGATTATCTAAGTCATGATAAAAAAAAATTAGTAATACTATTTAGACTTAAATTTACTGACCTAATTTATTATGACATTTATATTGAATGTGGATTTCATTAAACATTAGAATTTGTTATTGTTGTACTGATTTTTTTTGAAATTACGTGGTTACGTTAGATCAAAAATATTATTTAAAAAAAAAAACTCTCATGAAAAGTGGTGGGCGGGAAGAGTTGCAAGGGCCACGTTTGAAACACTTCATTTGAATACTGTCTCTCTCTCCCTTCTTCTCAACTGGCTTATCATTCAACTAGCTTGCCATCCACTAGCAACTGATTGACGGAGGACCTCTCTCTGGCTCTCTAATATGGTGATTGACCTTCGTATCTTCAATTCTTCCCTTATGGTTTGATTTTCATCCAGAAGCTTGCGTCCTAATATAGATCGATTCCAATTTCCATCTACCTGTAGTCTGTTGTACGAATTCATCCCAATTGGGTGCTTCGAACGAAGCTTCACTTTCGGCAAAATTAATTGTAGTGGTAAGTGCATTGGGCTTGGGTGGGTGAAAACTTATCGTTGGCATTTTGGTATAGAATTTGAGGATCCCTCAATTTTGGGTTAAGAATGAGTTTTTCCTTGATTTGGTATACGTTTGATTTAAGGGTTCGAGAAGATTGTTGGAGTTTTTTAACTCAAATTTAAAATTGAGTCCAGGTTACAGTTAGGGTTGGAGATGCTTTGCTTAAGTTTTAGATTTGTACTTACCCGGGACTTGATAGTTTAATTTGTTTTCTTATACGTTTTATTGTGTGTATGTTTCATATACAGGCAAAGCCTCCGAAACTTGTGTAGATCAACTGTAGAGTGTCTTTTGGGGGCAGTGTAACAGGTAACGGTAGAAATAAGTAATCTCAATTCACGGAATGGTCTGCTTCAGAAATTAGTTTTATGATGCTTATCTAATTGTAGGCAGCCTATTTTGAAAATTGTAGATTTATTTAGTGACCAAGTTGGTGGTGTCAGTTTAAAGCTTTCCATTAGGTTCATAAGATGGGTGTTGAAAATTACCATGTAATAGAGCTTGTTGGCGAAGGCTCTTTCGGGAAGGTATACAAGGGAAGACGGAAGTACACGGGCCAGGTATCAGTTCTGTTGCTTCCGCTGCTGTCCATTGTTTAAGTTGCTGGAAGTAAGTTTTATCATCGTAACTTTGTTGCTTTTTTGGCCATTTATTACAGACTGTTGCAATGAAATTCATTCTTAAACATGGTAAAAGTGAGAAGGATATACAGAATTTAAGGCAGGAAATAGAGGTAATTTCCAGCAGTTAGTGCAGAAAGGAGGATGTATTGATTTTTTTTTTTTTTAATCTATTGTGAAGTTTGAGAATGTTTATATGCATGTGTACTTGGGTGATACGGTTCTTCCTATTTCTGCTCAACTCAGTGCCTCTATTGTCTTTTCAATGGAAATTCCATTCAATAACTGAACATTGCTGTCTTATCAGCAACTTCCTAGAATCATGTTTGCTCTGCTGCACACACACGCATATCCATTCATACCCACACACATAGTTTGCTATTTTCCCTTGAATACTTTGTTTTCCTTGCAACATCTAATTGCTGTAAGTGATTGTTGTTTGTCTGCATTTTTAGTAAGATTTTTCGCTGAATGCTAGTACCTATCTCACATGGCTGGCTTAAATGTTGCAGATTCTAAGAAAGCTGAAGCATGAAAATATAATAGAAATGCTAGACTCTTTTGAAAGCCCTCAAGAGTTCTGTGTTGTCACAGAATTTGCCCAAGTAATCAACGTCTTTGTCTCTGTCTTTCTCATGCAACAAGAATGTTCATTTGATATTTAAACATACCCCCATGATATTAATGGTTGATGGTCATAATGTAAGAGTGATGGACGACTTTTATCCACATGCAGGGTGAACTATTTGAGATTCTTGAAGATGACAAGTGCCTTCCTGAAGAACAAGTCCAAGCAATTGCGAAGCAATTGGTATTGTATTTTTCATATTGCTATTTCTGTTTTAGAATTTTCATCGTATAGGATTTTTTTTGTCCTTTTCTGATAATTTTACCCTTTAGCAAAAATTCTGCTGTTAAAATTTTCAGGTGAGAGCATTGTATTACCTACACTCCAATCGCATAATCCATCGTGACATGAAGCCACAAAATATTCTTATTGGCGCTGGGTCTGTTGTTAAGGTTGATTCTTTCAAAAAATTTCACTTACTTGGAGATATTTTACCTTCCTAAATGTCTTCCTGTATAGCAAAGTTTTTTCCTGTAAATAAAACTATGTTTCCCGCTGGTAGAGATCAATTATTCAGATTTCAGTATTTTTTGCAAAGTGCTTTTGTATGCTTAGTTTGTTTGATAGCTTTCTTCTTCATAAAAGGACTGTTTCATGCAGTAAAAATGATAATGGAAAGAACCGCAATGGTGATGGCAGATTCCACTTTACATTTGAATGGATAACAAGGAATGACTAGTGGCATCCTTTGTACTAGTTTTGTATCAGACGTGGAGATTTATACAATCACTTCGTCCCCACAGTCCAATACCCCTTTATATTTAGTTCAATTTCATTCGTCGGTGATATTCAGACATATTGTACACATGCCATCTGTATCAACGTGATTTGATGGTTTATTTTCCTGCTCTTTGTTCAATCTCGCCTGATTTGTTGCTTAAAAATAGCTATTGTCATGATTGCTTTTTTGTTTGCGTTTGAAACAGCTTTGTGATTTTGGGTTTGCACGTGCGATGTCCACAAATACTGTTGTTTTGCGATCTATAAAAGGTATGGTTGGCTTTATACTGTGTTACATTGCTTTATACTGTATTCTGAAATATAATTAAGATGCCTTGTAACTGTCCACAGGCACCCCTTTGTACATGGCTCCAGAGTTGGTCCGAGAACAACCTTACAATCACACTGCTGATTTGTGGTCTCTAGGCGTTATTTTGTATGTGATTTTATTTGATTCAATGATTATTAGTTGCGTTGAGTTTATGTCCTTGTGTATTATCAAAATTTGAATTGTTTAATCAAAATGATTTCTAACTTAGAAACTATAAAATCTGAACTTTTCTTTTTCGGCATGAAACAAGAATTCCATTTGTAGCTCTTGTACCTTGCCCTTCCTTTGGCTTGATTCCGCTATGTTCCACTTCCAAATGTAAATGAATGTGCCAACACACAAGATTACATGATTTGATTTCAACTGATTAGCTTTAAATTCTAAAGTAGTGTTTCTTCCAACTGATTGGTCCTTTTGGGAAACATGCCTTCTCTTTACTAGACTTGGCAGTTCCAAAAACTCTGATCAATCATCTTAGCTGTCATTTACTTCTCTCAATGAGAATTGGACCTTGGTGCACATAACAGTGATACCCACCTATTTCTGTCTAATCTAGGGTGCATTCTCATTCAATTAGGTAAACTTTTGGGCCTAATTGCTCAATGTTCTAAGAAATTTCAGAACTATGCAGGTAGTCATGCACATTGCCTGGTTGCTGGCCTCTATGCCTAGGCAATATATCCACACGCATATCACCCAAGTTTTAAAATTTTTAAAGTTGTGTTTTCTATCACATTATATGTGGCATTAAGAAGGCAATTGTTATAATGACTATAAACTTGACTAATATTCCTTTAGAATTCATTGGAATCATTTATGCACAANATCACCCAAGTTTTAAAATTTTTAAAGTTGTGTTTTCTATTACATTATATGTGGCATTAAGAAGGCAATTGTTATTATGACTATAAACTTGACTAATATTCCTTTAGAATTCATTGGAATCATTTATGCACAAACGGGCTATGTCCCACCTCTCTCTCGATTTGGTGATATCGTGATGCCTTAATAATGTTGCCACATTAGTTTTAGCTTCTGCAAAGCCCTTGTATTCTAAAATTCCCTATATCAAAATGAATAGTTTTCGTTTATGTTTCTTGCTCCTCATGAACGTAGTACGACAATTTTGTTTGTAGATTTTCATTCTAGTGTTCTTTGGGTGATTGATTACAGCTCTTTGAACAATAAAACCAATAACTACGACTCAAGAACCCAATTGAACATCACAGTAGCTGTATATAATTTGTCTTAGATAGCATAGCTTCCAACCAAATTAACTAATGAAGTCTTTTCTATGCAATTCGAAGTATTAACTAATGGTGCAACAAAAGAAAGAAAAGATTTAATTAATTTGGACAGATGAATATTTGGTAAGCATCGACAATAGTCAACTTAGCATGACAACCTACACATCTATATTGGTTTAGTAGTTATGCAACTATATAGAAACATTGCTTTTATATTGTTCTTTAATTTAAAACTAACTGATAATGGTCACAATTCAGGTATGAACTATTTGTCGGTCAACCTCCATTTTATACGAATTCGGTGTATGCACTTATCCGGCACATCATCAAGGTAACTATGTTGAATCTTTAATTTTGAGTCTGATATTATAGTCAAACAAATACAGTTTAGTTTTACATGCTATTTTTCAGGATCCAGTTAAATATCCCGACACCATGAGTCCAAGTTTTAAAAGCTTCCTGAAGGGTCTGCTTAATAAGGTTGTATCCTACCAAAACATTAGGGCCTGTGTTTTACTGTCAATGATTTTTAGTTGCTAATATGGCTAACAAAATCATGGAAGCAGGTTCCACAAAACAGGTTAACCTGGCCTGCTCTCATTGAACATCCATTTGTAAAAGAAACTTCTGAAGAAGTGGAGGCCAGGGTAATGTTGTTACTACACTTACAGAAGTAGGGTGTAGACATTCGTTTTTGCCATTTTTATAGATTATTTTATTTAATGCTTTACTAGCTTGTTAATCATTGCCAGGAGATTCATAAAACAATTGCTGCTGCAAGGGGATGTGACACAGCCTGGAGGGGTGATAGAAACATTCAGATATCTCCTGGATTGGCTGTTGCAATTCCTGAGAGTAAGCCCTTCCTTGATTATTGGAAGTAAACAGATTTTTATTGGTCTTACAATTGCAAGAGACATTGTCATAGGTAAAAGCCATTCTACTGCTGCTATTGAAAATGGAGTTCAGAGCCTTCAGAATGATCCTCAATCTAATAGTCCTAAATCAACCACGGTCAATTCTTCACCACAGGATGAGCTCCCAGGATTTTCAAGTCCCAGTGATATTGTGCCGTCAGGTAAATCACATTGGGATTCAAAAAAAAGTTCTTGTTTAATGTGTTATGAGTTTAGTACAGAAGAATGCAGTCTGATAGGTGATCTGAAATTTTTTATGGAAACAATGCTGTCAAACAACCATCTACTCCAAATGTTTAAGTTGTTGAAGAGGGTGTAATTTAAGTATTTATATTTTAACAAGCCCTTCATATGCAAGCTAGATTTTGGTCCTAGCACATGAAAATCTTTTTAATAATTAGGGTGACGGTGTCACGGTGAGATTCGAACATAGAACCTCATGCTCTGATATCATGTTAAATAATNCAAATGTTTAAGTTGTTGAAGAGGGTGTAATTTAAGTATTTATATTTTAACAAGCCCTTCATGTGCAAGCTAGATTTTGGTCCTAGCACATGAAAATCTTTTTAATAATTAGGGTGATGGTGTCACGGTGAGATTCGAACATAGAACCTCATGCTCTGATATCATGTTAAATAATTATCTATTGCAGAAGTCTAAGTTGTTGAAGAGGGTATAATTTAAGTATTTATACTTCAACAAATGCAGTAACCTATTATGTTTTGTAATTTGTAGATGAATCATGAATGTAAATAAGTGTATAACTTAATGTATTTATACCAGATAACTTCAGTTTTTTTCTGATAGGTAATTGGAAGCCCTTCATTTAGTTTAAGTGTCAGATCAAGATATATGGTTTCTTACTTTTCTGTNTGCAGTAACCTATTATGTTTTGTAATTTGTAGATGAATCATGAATGTAAATAAGTGTAAAACTTAATGTATTTATACCAGATAACTTCAGTTTTTTTCTGATAGGTAATTGGAAGCCCTTCATTTAGTTTAAGTGTCAGATCAAGATATATGGTTTCTTACTTTTCTGTGGTGCATTTTATTTCTAACCTTTGAATATTGTATGTAAAGTTCTCAATTTCCTTCTAGATGGAATGCATATGATGGGTTGCAGTCTTGCAACCTTTTGGCAGTACAAAGGATCAATATATGTGTACTGGCAATCAAATAACTACAACCTTTTTTTTTTTACCTTTNCTGTGGTGCATTTTATTTCTAACCTTTGAATATTGTATGTAAAGTTCTCAATTTCCTTCTAGATGGAATGCATACGATGGGTTGCAGTCTTGCAACCTTTTGGCAGTACAAAGGATCAATATATGTGTACTGGCAATCAAATAACTACAACCTTTTTTTTTTTACCTTTTTCAACTTATGGTACAAAAATTTTAATCAACAACCTTTTCTTTACCCTTTTTCCTTTAGTTGAGGCTATTCCCACCCCACATGTAGCATTGATCTTTTTTTTTTTTGTTGTTGTTTACATCTCCATTTGGAGAGAATCTGATTTTTTTATCTTTTGTAAGCATACTAATTTACTTCCTGTGTTCAATAGTGTTGATAGTTGTGCTATGCTTATAAACACATCTCTTTTCAGGTGGCTCTGTCTTGGACAGACTAGAAAATAACTCACGCACGGTTAAAGGTGCAAAAGTAATTGGTCAAGATAATGAAGCCTTGTCGGATATTTTGCTACCACTCAAAAATTGGTGTAAAGGATCTCAAAGTTCTTGCAGGTAAAAGGAAGTTGCACACATTCAAGCCATATGAATAGAGTTACATCTTCCATTCTATTGCTGAAACTGATTGTTGATATTTAAAACCTTCCATTTGTTATGCTTTAGTGTAAATTGCATAGGAGTTAAAATGCATGGAGACAAATTTTCTGTTTGAGATATTTTCTCAAATAGAAAAATTTTTGGGGTTGCATTTGGCCTAAGAGTGAAATGTTTGACGAGCACAGAATATNCAAATGCATGGAGACAAATTTTCTGTTTGAGATATTTTCTCAAATAGGAAAATTTTTGGGGTTGCATTTGGCCTAAGAGTGAAATGTTTGACGAGCACAGAATATGTTACTTTTCTGAATTTTGTGAATGTTGGTTTGAACATTCTGCTTCTAGTTTGAGTGTTGTCTCCATTCTGTTGCAATGACACTTCCTAATGAGATGGATTCTGCCAACATTGGTCTGGACATGAAATAGAAGATTTTCTTTCTTAGGAGATTTCTATAAGCATCCTATTGGGGATATTATTCTAGCTGTCCTCCATGCAAATATTGTAAGCATTAAGAATAACCTCTTCGAGATCTTTTTTTTACTTTTTACGCTTTCTCACCATAGCTCCTTTGGAACTTTTTCCAGAGTGCAATACAATCTGTAATCCGGCATATGCTGTACTTGTTGCCTGTTGTCATTTCTGTCAGGACTTATTTGCTTTTGAAAATTATTACAGGGATCAGGATATTCTTTGTTCAAACCAGTCACTAAGAATACTATCAAATTTAGTCACAGCTAGCGCTATCACCTCAACTGGTGTACTTGATGAACTTATAAGTGAACTACTTAGATTCACTGCCACTGTAATTAACTGTAAATCCTCTGATGGTTATGACTTGTTGGCAAAGGTATTTAACTGCTGCTCTCTCTTCAATAAGTTATCTCTTGCTTTTGGCTTTACTTTCTGTTCCTGCACTTGCTTTTACCTCTTTGTCTATAAATCTAGACATTCGTAAGGCAAAAAATTGCTGAGTTTCTTTTGGCTGAAAAGGTTTGTCTCTTGTTTTAAAAGTTCAAGCATTTTGAGGTGCATATAACTGGCTTCATCAATTGATGTTTAAATTTCTGGAATGCAAGATTATTACTTGCCTTCGTTTGCAGCCTATCCAACATTTGGAAAGTAGAGTACTTTTTCTCAATTTAGCATGAACAAGTTTTCACTTCTTTTAAGTTTAACTTTTTCTTTTTTGAAAATTTCAGAGTTATTCCTAAGCATATGCTCCTACTCACCTCTAATGGTATCTGACAAAATTATTTCATACACAGAGCTTCTCGATCATCAAGAAGTTGGTAGATAGCTGTGGAGGTGATATAGGGAATTCATACTTCAAGCATTGGGTTGCCTTAGTAGAATTGTATTCACAGGTCATGCTCATTACTTTGATATTTATTATGTGCTGCGGCAGTCTATGAATTTGTTTTCTGCTCTGATGCTATTGAATATTTAGGTTGTTGGTTGTGCGGATGATGCTTTTGGAAGAGTTCTGTATGAATCAAGCACTTGCATTACAGTCATGTTATCTCGAGTATCACAGGGTCTCAAAACATCTGCAGCTGCCTCAGCTCCTGAGACTTTTTCTGCTCCTCCTGTAATTGATAAAACTCTTAAACAAGTGCTGGATCATGCTAAGACAGCAGGTCTGGTGGACCTTTTGTGTTTGTGCCTAGCAACTTCAGGGTCAAGTCTTGTAGCAGGTTCTTCAAATTTGTTGCGTGCTGCTTGTGAAGCCTGTAGGGCAACTTGGTCACTGATAGATGCATATGAAACTATTTCTGTGAATGAAAATGCCTATGTTTTTCCGCTAAACTTGTTACGGAGCCATTCTTTACTCCAGCGAGAGACTAGAGGCCATGACCAAGGTTCAATGGGTGAAACAGATTCAGCAAAAATTGTTGATACAGTGACAAGAGCATTCCTCAGATCCAAAGCCATACAAGTTGCTATATACTACTGTATTCATCAACGTTTTGAGTCTGCTCTCTTCGCTGGCATCCAGGTGTTTAATTTTTGTCCCTATACTCTGACAGTATATCTACATGTAGCACATCCTCTGAAGTTCCTTGCTAACAAATGTTGTGTTGTCCTATTCAGTGATATGTAAAGTGGCTTTATCTCTTTCTAATGCGCAGAATTCTTAATTCCTTTTGAGTATTTAATACCAAAGGTTTACAGATTATCATGGAATCATCTTATTTTCTTTTGACAAAATATTTTTTTTTTCTCTTTTCATTTAAAGATAGGTTCTCTCACTTTTTGGGGGGAACAACCCCAGCCACAGGCCATTTTTTTTTCTTTTTGTGTGTGGGGTTGGTGGATTTTGAACAGCAGTCAGTTTATGTCCAAAATTTATGATCTTTTGCAATCCATGTTTTAAGAGAATAGGAATCTGATAATAGCAGAATGATTGAGAATCTGTTCTTTCTTCTTCCCCTCTCTTTTAAGTTGCACCTACTGAAAAGAAAACCAATGAGTCAATATAGATTTAAGAATGGTAGTCTGCTTGGTTCCTTATTTTAAATGCAGGGATACTTTTTCCTTTGCTTTGAAATGGCCTTCCTCCAATTTTTGTGGAATTAATCAGTGTGCATTTTGTTTGTTTATGCTTTCATATTGCCTATCTTATCTTCCATATTTCCAAAGGATAATGGGAATTGTTTTCATGTCTAGCTGATCTTGAGATGTTGCCTCCATAGTGGAATTGTTTCCAGTATTCTATGTGGTTTGCCTAGTTCTCTACCTGCTGCAACAGTTGTCAGTGGGGGAGGGGATGGCACAATTGTTTCAGAGATCTTTGCCATAATATCCATTTGCACTTCTTCAAGCAAAGATCCACAAACAGGAGAAACAAGTAACCTGAAAGGCAAATTAGCCAATCCACTTGTACTGGTTTTGCATTCATGCCTTATCCTTGCTACTGTTGGACAAAGTCTGAAGTCAGCTGGAAGAAATTCTGCTCTATTTATGCTTACAACATCCTCAAAAAGGCAGCTTTCTCGGCTTTCCGTGCTTGCACACCATTTTCCCTCTGATGATATGGCACAACCTTCTTCTCAAACTTGTGCATCTGCCATGCTAGCTCTTGCATCAATCCTGTCCCTTGAAACTGGAGCTTCTGTTGAATCTTCCATCTCTGAAAACGCTCTGCCTTTAATCCCCCGGACTGCTATACTTTGCGACAACCTCAAGATCTCATCACCTGATGAAAATGGAGTGGGCCATATCATGTTGAACGGTATGCTCTCATACTGGCATGGCATCAGAGATGGGTATGTTGGTTTGTTGGAGTCCCGACTGAGGTGGGGAGGACCATTAGCCGATCAACAGTTGTATGCAAGTGGCATTCCTCAGCTTCTCATTGATTTGTTGGCTAATAACCCTCCAGATTCTTCTCCCCAAGAAAATGACTGTGCAAGAGATCAAACTGGGCTATCACCTGTTGGAGTTGTGTGGACAATTTCCTCAATATGCCAATGCCTTTCTGGTGGTGTTTTAGCTTTCCGTCAGATCATGCTTAGGAGTGAGCATATCAGGACCATCTCTGATTTGATATCTGATGTACATCTTAAGCTTGTGAGGTGCTGGGTTGGGCCTGGTGGAGGGAAGGATGGCGTGAGAGATACAATAAATCAAGTGATTGATCTCTTTGCATTTCCTTTTGTAGCAATACAGAATGCCCCAGGTTTGACATCTGCAACTGCTTCAGTGAACAGCGGGTTTCTTCTTAACATGGGCTCACCTGGTGGGAGGATTTGTGCTGAAGATAAGGACATGGTGAAAGCAATAGAGTCGAACATGGGAAAATATATTCAAATCCTTTTGGAGGTCAATCTTCCTCCTCTTTTTCTAGTTTCTGATTTTCTCATGTTTCTGTTTCCATCTCTTCTCTATTTTCCCCATTCTGTTTTTTCTTGGAGAATGCCTCTGCGCTGAGTCACTAACAAAGGACTTGTTCTATTGGAGATGCCTGCATTTTGTCATCTGTTCTTTTAACTATCGAATGGAAGGTTTCCGACTTTTCATATGTTTAGTTTAATACTTCATTTGGCCAGAATGAGAATACAAAAGTGCATGCTAGCAACTTTGACCGTGTCCAGTTGTGTTAACCCGAACAAAATATGATTAGATGCGGCACCTTAATGTCAACTTCATGTGACAACACCCCTTTTCTGGTTCTTATGCATTTGCTTCTGAAATTACAGGTAGGAGTACCTGGCATTATTCTTCGGTGCTTAGAACATATGGACCTCAAAGATGTTGCAAGGCCCGTTGCATTTCTTGCTAAAATGGCAGGGCATCGACCTATTGCAGTTCAACTTCTAGGTAACCGCTTGCTGGATCCAAACAGAGTGAGAAGGTTCCTTGATAGTTCTTGCCCAAGGGAGGTCACGCTGGATGTTCTGATGATAGTGTCAGATCTAGCCCGAATGGATAAGGTCAGGTCCTAATCTTACTATTTACGGTTGGCCTGGTGAGTTAGTTTAACCACAGTTTGGCACAACGTGGTATAAATGGAATGCTTCTCCTTTAATATAACATCATTATCAGAATTGTGCTGTATATAATCTTTTCATCAAAAGTGTTCGTTTTATTTTGTTTATTTTGTTGGGTCGGGTGAGATCTAGTTGCAGCCAGAAGGAAAATGCTCCATGGCACAACGTGGTATAAATGGAATGCTTCTCCTTTAATATAACATCATTATCAGAATTGTGCTGTATATAATCTTTTCATCAAAAGTGTTCGTTTTATTTTGTTTATTTTGTTGGGTCGGGTGAGATCTAGTTGCAGCCAGAAGGAAAATGCTCCATGGCACAACGTGGTATAAATGGAATGCTTCTCCTTTAATATAACATCATTATCAGAATTGTGCTGTATATAATCTTTTCATCAAAAGTGTTCGTTTTATTTTGTTTATTTTGTTGGGTCGGGTGAGATCTAGTTGCAGCCAGAAGGAAAATGCTCCATGGCACAACGTGGTATAAATGGAATGCTTCTCCTTTAATATAACATCATTATCAGAATTGTGCTGTATATAATCTTTTCATCAAAAGTGTTCGTTTGATTTTGTTTTTTTTGTTGGGTCGGGTGAGATCTAGTTGCAGCCAGAAGGAAAATGCTCCACTCAAACAAGGGCTCGGTCAAAAACCTTCTCAACTCATTCTGTTTGATTTTTTGAATTTAATTTGTCACTGAGTCACTCAGTCCACGGTTCTAGATATAATTATGTTTCATTGATGAAGCGCTTTTTCTCAACTAATTCCAATTCACTTTTTGGTCAAACACCATGGTTCTTGAAGGACAAATTCACACTGGGTAATGAATCATCCATATCAAGAGGGCCCTTATGCTATTTATGTCCAAGTATTGTTTCCAACTCTAGTGTTTTGTATACAGGAATTTTATGAATACATAAATGGGGCAGATATCTTGGGGTTCTTGAAGAATTTTCTTATCCATGAAGATCCAAATGTACGTGCAAAGGCTTGCAGTGCTTTAGGCAACATGTGCAGACATAGCTCCTACTTCTATAACTTATTGGTAAGTATTCCACACATTACTTTGCTTGACAGCATTCTACATCATAATCTGAAACTTCCTTGATTGTGTAGGAATTATTTTCACCTTCTGATCAATGTTTGTTCCATGTTGAATTTAACAACTATAAATTATTTGCAAAGTTCAGATGTCTTGAGCCACTTTGTTGTTTGCTTATCTTTGGATTCTGTATTGCAGGCAAAGCATCAAATCATAAGTCTCCTTATTGATCGATGTGCTGATTCTGACAAGCGTACCCGGAAATTTGCATGTTTTGCTGTAAAAAAATTTCCTATGCCTTGTGAAGTTACATTCACTTATGAATTTATTGCCACAGAACTTTATTAAAAATTTCTTAGTATAAGTGACTGATCCATGTTCCCTCTCTAGATTGGCAATGCTGCCTATCACAATGACTTTTTGTACGAGGAGCTAAGAAGATCCATTCCTCAACTTGCGAATTTGCTGCTTTCAGCTGAAGAAGACAAAACCAAAGCAAATGCTGCAGGTGCACTGAGTAATCTTGTTCGGAATTCCAGCAAGCTGTGTGAAGATATTGTTTCAAAAGGAGCAATGCAGGTTTGTTGCATGCCCATATCATAATATACTGAAGTAATGCTACCTCTGCTAGTTTTTATTTTCAAAAGGTTTGCGTTTGCTCTAACTAAGGTTATCTAAGTTCCATGCTTCTCCAAAAATAAGCTACTCCTTTTTTCATGTTTTTTGTTGGGGGAGAGGGGGAATAGTTAGTCTAAAAATTTTGGCCTTGTAAATGTTTTTTGGGTCCCCTTACCACAATCTGAAAGAGAAAGCGGACAAGAAGATTCTGAAGAAAACAGTCTGTTCTCTTCCACAGATGTCTACTAATTTCTGTTGTGAAGTTGAGTATCTCATATTTATTTGCTTCTTGACACCATAGTAATTGTGGTTTTTTAAAGCTATTGCCTATTGATTCTAAGACATCATTCGGCATGTAACATGCAATGTGTGTGGAATGACAAAAAATTATGCAAAAAAAAATTCATAATGCACTATGAATTAGCTTTGGCCGGAAGTCAAAGTTATGCTTTAGGTCTAATTGTAAAAGATTTTTAAAGCAAAATTTGAGTGCGATCTTGATAGATTTTGTTACTTATACAGTTATGTTTAACAACAAATCATATATATACATTTCAGGCTTTGCTGAAGTTGGTAGCAGATTGTTCCATAGTTGCTTTAAATCCACCTCGGAAAGATGCCATAAATGAATCACCTTTAAAGATTGCTCTTTTTTCATTGGCCAAGATGTGTGCACATCCACCCTGCAAACAATTCATCCGCTCATCAGAGCTATTCCCTGTGATTGGGCGCCTTCGACAATCCCCAGAATCGACAATAGCTAATTATGCCTCTGTCATCATCAGCAAAACCTCTGAAGCTTGAGCTAAAAGCTGTTGAGGGCCAAAATTTTAACACCACTTCCTTGGACTCTACTCATCTGTAATGGCAGTTCCAGGTGACATCTTGGCAGAGGATAGAGTTAAAATATTTCTTTCTTCGAGTGTAAATCTATGTAAGTAGTATTATCTTCTTTATACGGATAAATTGTTAAACAGAGTAACACTTTGGTTCCTCATATACAAAATTTTGGGGGGCTTTCTCTCGGCTTATATATTTCCTTTTGCAAGCATACAAATACATGTATGCTGAATGCCGTAGCATTGACATTGTTTGGCAGAACTCCAATATTTGGGAAAAACATCATTTGGCTGCAGATTAGAATCTTGACTCGTGTAATTTGAGTAAANGGCTTATATATTTCCTTTTGCAAGTATACAAATACATGTATGCTGAATGCCGTAGCATTGACATTGTTTGGCAGAACTCCAATATATGGGAAAAACATCATTTGGCTGCAGATTAGAATCTTGACTCGTGTAATTTGAGTAAAAACGGACTGAAAAAATTTCAATCCTTGACTAAGACTTACACAAAGTGAAGGGAGATTTAAATTTTTATTCAAATCAAGGCAAATTCAAGTTTTTACTCAAATATTCAATGGTTAAATTTCATCTTTTTTAAAGATCCAAGTCCAACAATTGTATTTTATCCTTTTGAATGTATCTCAATCATGACTTCAACTTTGTTCATTGGAGTATTTTGAATTAAATTAAATTTTTTACTCAAATTTGAATAAATTTTTTTTGTCATGGTTGGAGAAAAATAAAGAAAATGTTTTCAACATTGATTTAGTTGCATTGTTGCCTATCATTTTGATAATTCAAGCCATCTAGGTAGCCACAGATAAAGAGCAATTTTTACTCACAAAATAACAACCGATTTTTTAATGCTCTCCTTCCTCATTTTATTNGTAGCCACAGATAATGAGCAATTTTTACTCACAAGATAACAACCGATTTTTTAATGCTCTCCTTCCTCATTTTATTTTTTTGGTTGGCTACANAGCCACAGATAAAGAGCAATTTTTACTCACAAAATAACAACCGATTTTTTAATGCTCTCCTTCCTCATTTTATTTTTTTGGTTGGCTACATGCATAATGAAGATTTTTAGTGTTTAAACAAAACCAGGGCCAAAGTTACCGAATCCTTCATATACCAGTCATATCTCCAACTGTATTTTAGTGGTTTGTCTTCCACAACTTCCACGAATATACATATTTAAGTGGGTCTTCTATCACCACGGTAGAGTGTCAGTGTACACAGTAACGAAAGGGAATATATATATTGAAGGGGATCCAAGTCCAACGACATTGCAAGAAACAGTTCAGTCCAGTCATGCCACTTTTACATTTCTCAACGTCTCCATTAGATCATCTTGCACTATAATGACGTGTTAAATAAAAACGTCCCTCGAAAAAACAATAATAAATTTTACTTGGATGCAGATTGCATAATCATATTAAAAGTGGGAAATGATTTTGGTTTACCTGCCCCTGCCTGCCTGGATTGAGAAAATTGAAGGAAATGGTTTCAGCATTGATCTAGTTGCATAGTTGCCAATCAATTCGATAATTCAAGCACTCTACGTAGTCATAGGTATGTTAATGCTCNGATTGAGAAAATTGAAGGAAATGGTTTCAGCATTGATCTAGTTGCATATTTGCCAATCAATTCGATAATTCAAGCACTCTACGTAGTCATAGGTATGTTAATGCTCTCTTTCTTACTGTTTTGGTTGGCTAAATACGTAGTCACAATTTGAGCGGTCTATATGATTCAAGAAACACAAGATTTCAGATTACTGAAGAGCATGTATAAATTAATAAGCTACCATTGGTCAAACTATGGCAGAGTTATTACAGAAAAGAAAAGAACATCCAAGTTCTGCTATAGTTGAGAGGGAACAAAAATATCAAAAGGAGAAAACCAAGAAGGTTTACACTAAAACAACCAACACATAAATTTTTGGAACTGTTATTGCCTCTGGTTAAGATGCCTTCAGTTTTTCTTTCCAAGTTCGCCTGGATGGTTCTCTGACAGTGCTTGCAAGGCTGGTCTGGACTTTGCCATCTGCTCATCAGGAAGCAACCAACAATGTCAGCATACTTGAAAAGAATCCCAATTTAAAATTTTCAACTAACAATCACAATTTAAAGTTGTGAAAAAGAGAAACATAGGAGGTAAAAAAATAAAGAAAGAAAGGGGGGGAGAAAGAGGGGGCGGGTGTGGGAGGAAGGCAGCCTCACCTTAGTAATGTCCTTGGTGTTCTCCTCAATTTTGTTCATAGTATTAGTATTTGTAATCTGCAACTTCTCTTTCAACATTTTTTCCAACTGCCTCAAGCTCATATCATTCAATGACTTCAGCTTGTTATCCTCGACACAGTCTATTTTGTTTTTCTTCTCCTTCTCCATTGTAAGCACCAATTTTCTGCCACTGTTGTCAATGTTCTCCTTGTCATCTGAAACAAGGGACATCCTTCTAATGGTCGATGGAGTATTGCTTGAAGATTTCTTCAATGGGGTATTGATTGAAGACTTATTGGTTGGTGTCAAATGAGTCAGATGGGCAACATGGTCTGGCTCTGCCAAGCTTGATGGAATCTGGTCTTGCTTAAAAAAAGGACTAGCTTGTTCTTTAGGCAAAGAATCATTGTCATCTTGGGCCATTGACCATTGCGGAGCAACAAGGTCCAGAACATTACCGCAAACATTCTCAGAGTATGGGACAGTAGCCGGTTCTTCTGATACAACATTACACTCTTCTCCAATCTCCAATTTTGAGAGCTCAGTATAGGAAGGCAACACATCAACTGCAAATTCATTAAATCCTATAAGGCAATTACTATCATGTTCCAAAAAGGTAAGAAAAGGTTTATATAGTCAAGTGGTTGATAATGAGTAGAAGCAAAACAGATAGAACCTACCCTTGTGTATTAGAAAATCAACTTTCACCTCTACATTATATAAATCTTTCATATCTCTGTCATCACTCAATTCTGCCCCATTCTCATTTGAATTCTCTGTATCAGAGGTAGATATATCAACTGCAAAATCATCAGATCCTATAAGGCATTACTGTCACGCTCACAAAAAATCAATACATTCCAATGATATGGTGGTCCATAATAAGCATGAGAGGAAAGATGAATTAACCTACCTTTGCTTTCGCGGACTTCAATTTTCACAGGTACATCATATAAATCTTCCAATCCCATATCTTTATTATCATTCAATTCTTCACCATTCTCATTTGTGGCAGAACCAAACATAGATTCAGTCCCTACAAGCCAACCATCATTATATATAGAAAGTCCAGAGAGAAACTGATTGAAACGGACTCAAGCAATCAGCTAGTGATAGCAAGTAGAATAATATAAATAAAGAAAAACTCACCAATGTTTTCTATGGCTTCATTTTCCATATCTAATGCCTTGCCAAAGTTGTTGCTTGAATGAATGTCTAATTCATCAAATTTCTCACTTCCTACCTCTGATTTTTTCTCTAAATCATCATCACCTGCAAGTTAACCAAACGTAAAAAATGTCAAATAATTGAGGCACGGATCTTAATACTGAACAAGATCATCAACCGCACCTTCTTCATTTCCTTCTTTATCCACTGTCAATCCCTTTGCATGTTCATCTTCGACCAAGGCAACGTTTGATTCATCAAGCCCCCNGTATAAATTCTTACCCTTGTTACCAACATCAACCGCACCTTCTTCATTTCCTTCTTTATCCACTGTCAATCCCTTTGCATGTTCATCTTCGACCAAGGCAACGTTTGATTCATCAAGCCCCCTTGAAACCTCTTCTGAATTTGCACTGCAATTGCCTTCAGAGTGATCACTCTTCTTTTCCTGAACATATTCTTTCAAATCTGTTGCATTGGTTGTCACTTCTTTTGATTTTTGAGCTGAATCAACTAAATCATCACTTCCTTCCTTATCCACCATCAACCCCTTGGCATGTTCATCTTCAACCAAGGCAACACGTGATTCATCAAGCCCCCTTGAAATCTCTTCTGAATTTGCACTGCGATCGCCTTCTTCATAGTGATCACTCTTCTTTTCTTGAACATCATCTTTCAAATCTGTTGCATTGGCTGTCACTTCATTTGATTTTTGAGCTGAAACAACTAAATCATCGCTTCTCTCCGATCCATCTTCCAATATTGTCTGCATATCAGCAGCTGCATGAAAATCACTGTCAGAAAACTGCTTAAACATTAAAAGGCAAATGTAAATATATCCATCACCGAAGGATAAGCAAATGCATACCAGATTCAGCCAATTCGTCTAAAACTTCACCCAAATCATCCGGACCCTCTTCCAACTTTACCTCCGAATCTTTAGGTGTTTCACTGGAAAATGAATCGATTTTAATTGGTTCAACTCTTTCTTTCTCCTTCAGATTGGACTCCGACAAATTCTTTTCAGACAACCTCACCGATCGCCTTGTACTGTACACTCTGTGCACCACGCCTTCCTTCAAATCCTCATTTTTCCCATTCCTAGATTGGGTCTCCACGTTCCGGCGAACCGACGACGGCAACCCCCTTCTCCGACTGTTTGGCGCCTCTGCAGGAGTTTCCGAAACAACTCTCTTTTCTCGATCTATTTGATCCCTAATGTTATCGTCTCCTTCGTTGTCCTTCAATTGGATCTTCATTTTTTGAATATCTGAAGCTGCCGGAGTCCTCCGGGTGGTAGGTGCCGCCGGAGTTTGTGCAACATCATTCTTTGCTTCCTCCACCTCTCTGGCAATCCTTCTTGTTGTTCTCCGACATGTCGTCGCAGTCAGAGTCTGCAAAGTTTCAGACACTTCTTTGATTTGTTTTCGCCGAGTAGATGTTCTACAACCAGTGCGAGGAACAGCCGGTGTAGTTATCACCGTTTTCTCAGGTGATTCAATAGAAGATTGTTCGGTTTCAGATGCTAAAGGCTTCAAGAATTCTTCAATCCCTTCAACCTACAATCAAATGGAACACACACACACACACACACGAAGTCAACATATATAGAGAATACTAAAGAACAGATAGCGAGTTTTTATAAGATTAACTGGAAATAAAAAAGTGTAGAAAAATAGAAAAAGTGGTAATGGGAGATAATAAGGGTCGAAAAAAAACTTACGATCTCAAGAGCCTTGAGAGCGTCGACCATAGCGACGTTGGTCATGTTTGCCGGGATTTTGTTCTTCTTGCAAAGAGTTTGGAGTTCTTTCCTGGTCAGGCTGTGGAAATCCATTGCTAAGGAACTAACAGATCTGGTTATTAATCGATGGAAGATGGAAATAAGGTCTTTGGTGTATTGAAGGATGTGTTCGTAGTGAAAGAGAATCAATAAGATGTGATTTGCTCTTGCAGAGAAATAGAGAGAGATGTGTTCTTGATGGAGACGGCGGTAAGCAGTAGGGGATATATATACATGTTTGTGCATGAAGGCAGGCGGATGAACTGAAACCCTTCCCCAATATGACCGTTGGAGCGGCGATTTGAAATTTGAATTTTATAACTAACCGTTTTTCTTTTTTCTTTTTTTTTGGAGGGGGGAGGAAGTGTGTGTGTGTGTGTGTGGGTGTGTGCTTGTGTGAATGGAAAAAGTAGGAGCACATTTTTCGGGTTAGTTATTCCATGTGCAATTTAAGTACCGTTATTTACTAGATGAATAGACACTACATCAAAAGTTGGATGACGATATTGACATGAACAAAAAGGATTCTGTTGAATGTGGATCATGGGAAGAGGAAAAAAGCGCAATTACGGAAATTGCATGGAGCACAATTTGCAGGTTGTATAGCAAATGGAAGGATCAATTCAAGTCATTACTTATGTTTATTTTAGTTAAATAAAATACCCCCCCCCTTTTTTCTCTTTTTCCCAACACCCTTCACTAGTCTTCTGATTCTTTATTGATGATAATGTATGCCATCTAAGTCTTGTTAGGGCAACAAGAATGATGAGCA